TAATATGTAATAATATGTATACTAAGCCTGAAGGTGACGCTTTACTACGACGGCCATCTTGGATGGTACACATACATAACTCTGCATTGCTGCGTCATCTTGTCAGCACTCTAGTTGTTTAATAGCTCTATGGCTGTACTGAACTTTCTGAGTAAATTGAGGGCGCATTTGCAAACGATGGCGCTTAGCGAAATTTGATTGGCTAAATCTATGGTAGCCATCTTGGATGGTACACATACACAGTTCTGCGTATTTCGAACATCGAATACATTGCGGTTAGCGCTCTAGTATTCTTATTATACCTCTATGGTTCCAATACATATTGCTGAACTACAGAGGGCGCTAGACTCGTTTTTTGGGTTATCAGGAGAATCTTCGCGGCAGTTTTTCAACTAACGAATTCATTTGTATGCCTGATAAAATTTAAAAGAATATTGGTGACATGATTTATGTTTTTAAAATTCAGCAATTCAGCATACAGTATTGCATTTTAAATATATGATTTTTTTTAATTTATAAAAGCACTAAACATTATTGTGGGAAAATATTTAACTTCGTTAGGGCGAGTTGAACAGTTTAAAGGATAAAATAATTTGAAAGCCCATTAATTTATTTGTTGTATTGAAAAAATAGTAGCATATTAAAAATTATTTGATCACATGTTGTGTTTAAATAACTAAATGTCACACATATTTCAGTTTATATTACCAAACAGCTATATGAAATTAACCTACATTAGAGTAAGAGGAACACACGAGACGAAGTTTATTCTGTTAGGAAAGGAAACACAAGATCATTACCAGTACAATTGAATGGTAATTATCTTATTTGGGACATTTGAAATGAAGAGTGAGACCAACCTAAAGCATCGAATACGATACATCATTAAAAAACTTTTCCAATTAACAAATTATACACTGACAAACCCCTCTAGTAAGATTGATTTACGTACAGCCTAAGTTTACTTATAACAATTCGTCGCCATTATTATTATTACAGTATTGTTATTATTATTATTATTATTAATATCATTATTATTATTATTATTATTATTATTAATATTATTATTATTATTATTATTATTATTATTATTATTATTATTATTATTATTATTATTATTATTATTTCCACTTCCGGGAGGTGCCGGCAATTGTGGGCGATCCAAAATATAAAACTTAAAATGTTGATTACTATGTATTCTGTGTGTGTATGTTTCGTATGTTTGATATTCAAACTGACAAGCCACCACTTCTTTTGATGCCTATGTAAATATTTTGTAATTTGTTGTGGAATTTTTCTGAATTTCTGAATAAATATAAATTATTATTATTATTATTATTATTATTATTATTATTATTATTATTTACAATTTAAAGAAAAGCATGTGTATTACCCACTGACATTAGTGGTAATAAAAATTATGTACGTTTTTATCCTGTATTTCATTTTATGGACGCATACGGTAGTGTCCCATTGAATTACATTGTATACCGATGTGTATAAGAGACAGGTATACCGTACTGTTTTATAAGGCGAAGTGAATAGTATTATGATATTGAATGTCATCAATATTGTAAAAGTGCAAGTAGTAATACATATTGTTAAACTACAGAGGGCGCTAAACTCGTTTTGTAGTTATCAGGTAATATTCGCGGAAGTTTATCAACTAACGAATTAATTTGTAGGCTTCATATAAATAAAATGAACATTGGTCACATGGTTTTACTTAACAAGAATGACAATGTGATTTAATTCAGCATGGTGCATTTTAAATATATGAGATTGTTCTCTAAAAAAAAAGCAATAAACACATTGTGGGAAAATATTTGTTCGTTTCGATAAGGCGCGTTGAACAGTATAAAGAATAACATAATTTCTATTAATTGATTTGTTGAAATAAAAAAAAATAGTATTGTATTAAGAATTATTTGAACACAGGTTATGTTTAAATAACTGATTTTTAA